GCTATTTTGCGGATAATCCAGCGTAAGTTTTATATTTTTTCGTTGATTTTCTCAGTAGACATTTGCATAGAATGGTGAGGAGATTGTGCCTAAGTGTATGCTTAGTATATGATTTTTTATGTCATTTCTCACTAGACATTTGCATAAAATGATTTTCTCACTTGACACCAGCGGAACGCCTTAGTGTATGTTTTTTTCTAATGTCGTTTCCTTTCTTTCAGCTCGCCTCCATCGCCTCAGCCGAACATCGCCGCTGCCGAGACCGACCCTTCACCCAACGGACTTCGACCTAGTTTGCCGACATTCGCCGCCTCAGTCGCCGACTTCCGTCGCTATTTTTAGGATAATCCACTGTAATATTTTATTTCTTCATGTATTTTTTCACATGACATTTACAAGAGGATGTACCTTGGTGTATGCTTTTTACTGATGATATTATTCATGTTGATAAGACTAGAGAGGGAGTTGGAGTATTAGACCTAGTGAGGGGATTGTGACTTTGGGCGAGCAAGTCGTTAATAAGAGCACATGTTTTAGATATCTTGGATCTATTGTTCATAGTGTTGCAGAGATGAGGATACTCAGGTGGATGAGTGGCTTTACCCTTAGAGATAGGTTTCGAAATGAGCATATACGTGATAAGGTTGGAGTAGCTCCATTGGAAGATAAGATTAGAGAGAGTCGCCTGAGATGGTTTGGGCACATAAAACAGCAATAATTATAGGGAGAACATAATTAAGCGATTGTGGTTAGAAGGAGAGTAGGCGAGCGATGGAAGTCGGAAGGATCGTAGTCAAGTTGTCAAGTTGGCAACTCCTTACTCACATTATCTAACATCCATTGCTCGATATACATCTTTATCTAACCACTGTATGGGCTGAGCTGAAGACTGCTTGGGGCAGCGTAGAGTATAGCAGAAGGAGGAATCAAAATCGACAGAACAGAGCTTCTGATGTTGGGGGCATGGGTAGTTCCCTTCATACTAGGGGCTCAGTTCCACATATTGAGCACAGTCGACGTTTGGTAAGGAATTTTAAAAGTTTTTAAAAAAATTCTTAAGAGGAATATTAATGGAATTCTATTACATAAAGAGATGTTTGGTAGAAAACCAACTACTATGGAATTGCATAGTCACACCCATAAGAGACAGGAGGACCAAAAATGAGTTGATGAGTGAGCAAGAAAAGCCTATGTAAGTATATGTGTTTAATAATTTTTATTTTATGTCTAAATAAATTGCTTAAATTTTTATTAACTTTCAGAAGAGTATACTCGGCTTCGAGAGAGTCAGGCCGCAGCAGGTGAGGGTTCTTCTGGTGGCTCTGTAGAGTATTTTAAGTATCGTATCTGGTCGCAAGCGGTAGGAGGAATGCAACATGGCGGGATTTATGGTTTAGGCTCGCAAGCCCAGGCATACGAGGGGATGACCTCTAGTGGATCCAGCTTCGCAGCAAGTTCACAGGAGTCCTTACATAGTCAACAGATAACTGCACTTCAAGCAAAGCTAGAATAAATAACGAAATCACAAGCTGATTGACAAGTTCAGTTGCAGACACAGATACAGATGCAGATGCATGAACAACACAATCAGTTGTTGGATTAAATGCGAAAAAAGAGGGAGCAATTGAGTAGAAAGAATATAGCTCCAGCGGAGGATGAGTCGACGGATTCAGAGTAGTTCTTTAGTTTTTTCAATTTCATATGAACTTTATCAGTTTCTGAATATTTGATGAATTTTATTAATATTTGTTGAAGTTAATGAACAATTTGTAATGTTTTTTAATATTTGATGATGTGCTGTGGAAATATGTGCTGTTGAGTAGTTATTTTTGAATATTTGTAATTGTAAACTGCATGTGTGGAAATATGATTGTTGTCTGGGAAGGTTATTTTTTCTTGTTTTTGCTACAGGTTTCGTGCGGATAAAACGTCAGTAATCCGCCGGAAATAACGATACAACGAATTATGTATCGATTTCCGGCGTCCTTAGACGCCGACCTTTCTGGCGGATAATGTGCCGGTTATCTCTGTCTTTTTTTTCGACGCATTTAGCGACGTTTGTTCTGCTAGAATTACCGGCGTATTTTTACGCTGATAATTCCGACGTATTTAACGCCGGAATAAGTGAATAAAAAGCGACGTAACTACCACCTACTTATCCATAGGTTGTGCACCAGAAAGCTTTCCAGCGTATTATTTACGTCGGGAAAAAATTTCCGCCGCGCGAATTACTGTCGTATGAAAATCCGAAGGAAATGCGACAGAAACTTGATCTTTCCGTCGAAATATTGATGTTACCGGCGTATTTTGTCCGCCGCTAATTGCGGGTTTTCCTATAGTGACGGTTGATATCACATCCTAAGAGATTAAGGAATAAATCGGTCATATTAAAGAACGTTCATGTGGATGGAATACACTAACAAATTATTACAAAAAATCTAAAGTTTGTTCATATGTCTTATTGATTCTACACATTCCAAGTAAAATAGAGCTTTAGGCATTCACTTGTGTAGTCTATAGTAAATATGTACTTGTAAAAATACATTGTTCTACACCGAAAGTATGATCATCTAAAATATATAACTATCATATAATAGTACATAATTATGCCAACAACTACTTAAGATTGTTGACTACTGCCGTACAAGTTCAATATTTCTTCTCATAAGTATTTTGTGCATGAGAGATTGATGTTGAGTTTGTGACAGGCAACATTCCATGTAAAACCCAAATTGTCACTATATCTCTTGTGAATCTGCTCCGGATAAAATTTCTTCTTATCTTTTTGAAGTGGTATATTCATAATTGATCATACAAGTTTAATATGAAACCATCATCTTTAGTAATTCAATGTCAATATAGTTTAACATTTAAATCTGATTTTCATAACTCTCGTCTTTTCCTTTTATTCTTAAGTTGGATCGCAACATCTTATGGTATCATCTATGTATGATGACCCATCTTTGTAAATCTATCTTGCACTAACTTCCATCCATACCCAGTAAGAAATCCCTTTTATGATCACTATGCATTTCATAGCTTTCTCATATAATCTCCATAACAACTTGTCACAATCCAACATGCGAACATACATATAATAATGGTATCCTTTATTTGAAACACCTACATATATAAGAAATGAGGATGCTCAAGTGGATATGTGGCTTTACTCTTAGAGACGGGATACAAAATGTGCATACACGTGAAAAGGTTGGAGTAGCTCCAGTAGAAGATAAGATAAGAGATAGTCGCCATAGAAGATTTGGTCATATAAAATAACGGCCTTCTGATGACCCCGCTAGGAAAGTATATGTATTAGAATTTGCCTATGTTAAGAAAGGTAGAGGCGCACCAAAAAGACTTAGTTAGAAAATATTAGAAATGACCTTTGTTTATTAGATTTTAATGAGAATTTGACTCTTAACAAGAACAATGGAGAAAAAGGATTCATGAAGCCGACCTCACGTAGTGGAATAAAGTCTTGATGTTGTTGTTTCTCTATACCTATTATAAATATTTTTATAAATATATAACTAAAATAAAATGTATACAAAAGTTAAAAAAAAAAACTAAAAATTAAAACTTACAATATAAGTAACTTAAAATTTCTAAATATTATAAATATTTTTATAAACATTTATAACATAAAATTAATAATCATAAGGCCTTGTTCTTATGTGAATCTTACCGCATAATTCAAATTAATTTTGTTTGAATTCTTATATAATGCTGGGGAAATAACTAAAAAATATCCATCTAATCTGCCTAGGAATGTACACCTGGTCAATTTGACTGATTTGGTTTAAAATCTAGCTAAATTAATTTATATTGGTTATAAAATTTAAGGAATGGAACCGACCAAATTATTTTCCAAACCAAATTTTAGCTTAGTCAGTTCAATTTAGCTTTGAATGAACAAATATGTAATTAATTTTAAAATTGACCTAATTACATTTAGCTAATATAATATGAATTAAGAATAATACCAAGAAATATTTGCTAAAATTTATAATTTTGGAATGTGGAATAAATAATATTCAAATTGATCTTTTTGTCAATGGTTTGTTTACAGTTCATGAGTTTTGTTGATTTAATAAATGTGAAATAAATAATACGAAGAAATATTTCGCTATAATTTTGTTTTTTACCAAATCGATCAATTTAGGCAAGTTCAATTTGATTTTTCAATTTTATCAAAATAATACACATCACTAAATCTGCCTTTAAAATATTCTCATAAGATGTAGGGCTTGTGTCTTCTATCCATTGGGATAGCAACACAGCTTCCATTATACCCATCATAAGATGATTCCAAGCTCACAAAACCCTTATAATTAGGACCATTAAAAATCAATCAGAAAATAAGTAGTTTTCCACATAAGCCCAACTTGAATCTTAAAAGTAAGCCAAACAAGCCCCTTAAAACTACATCCTACCCAAAAATTTCCACAAACTTTCAACTAATATAGCTTAGTTCTTTCCAAAAAACATGCAACGCCAAAAATTGAATTTTTGTCATTCCCATGAAACACTCAGAGCGGCCAACTTCTAAGGTGATCGTATGCTGAAATGGTCATTTTGCATTTAAGATTTAATAATACATATTTACACACAAAATTTGCATAGAGCTGCGAATCTACTCGTTGGATGTGTGAAGCGTTAAAGGAATTCATAAGTAACCATCTAACTAATAGGATGTTAGAGTTAACTACTGGTTGGACAAAAGAGGATGAAGAATTGAAGATGAAGTTTAACAAAGTCCATGGATATAAAGTATAAACTTAGATGCTCTAGTATTGAGCCAATTAATGTTCAAATACCAGTACAACTCAATTTAGAAATAATCCAAGTGGATGTTAATCAATCAGAAAAATCAGCATATCTTAGAAAGCATTAATTCATATATATAAACAACTTACCAACTGCTTATAGTCTATTCAAAGTGATGTGCTAAACTAGTTCTAGATTCCATTGCAAAATCATAAAAAGTCAATGCTAACCTTGAATTCTTCAAATGTGAGTTTCGGAATGACTTTTGGATCGCCACCACTATCTACACCATAAGTGTTCTCGGGAAAAAGGGCCTGCAAGAGCACTAATATTCATATCAGAGATATCAAGATTTCCAGGAACAAACAAAGAGATTTTAGTTCCCATCACTTTTCATAACAAGAAATTTTCATGTTGTTGATGTAACCATATAAGGAATCAATGTGGTTCACAATCCAAAGGATTTTGTAATAATGCTCACAACAGAACAAGCATAACTATATTGGTGGATATGTCAAGGTATTTTAGACAAACCATTATTCGTATTCATAAGAATTACAAAATATATTATTATAAAGCTGCAATGGAAAGAGTACATGCCAACAACTATCACACTTGATGTCCATGTCAGATAAAAGCAACAAATATAGCTGTCATCAGGATAATGATGGCAAGAAACCTTGCTGGTTAAAATGAGAGAGAGAACAGAAGACAGTACACTTTGATGCGTATTACTTTTACAGTGTTTGCCAATATTCCTTCAAGCGTTAACATTATAACTGAATGCATTTTAAGGAGAATAAAATATTTGAAGATCTTCAGTTTAAAATGTATTTTCAGGTCCGCAGATAAAGCATCTAACATGATCGCCCATTAGTCAGTCACCCAAGCAGAAAAGCTACTTATATACAAGAGCTACTAAAAATAAATGACAAAACCAATGGTGAAATAAATCATTCAGGTTTAGGATAAATGAAAGAAAATCATTTAACACATTGCCAACAATAAGTTTAAGTAAAAAAGACATTCCTGAATACAATTATATTAATCAAGAGAAGGAAAACAGAGATCTTCCGCATCAACCAGAATCAACATACTTACATACGATTTTTATTATGCCTCACATATACCAACAAGTTCTTAAATATCAGAACAAAAAAAAACAAAAGCTTCAAACTATGGAATCTAAGGGTAATCAACTCGAGGATAAATAAGCATTTGAAGGAGCAAAAAATAAATTGATGCTTGGGTTGCAAAAGACTGGTAAAACAAGGGTGGTCAGCATAATTAAAGAATAATGAAGAAATTTCCAATATAGAGCTTGCCTGCTGGGATGCACGGCCTAATATGTTATCAGGTTGAGAATAAACTCCTTTCATTTCATTGAAGACAACACCTGAAATGGAATAGCATATTAAACAAATAGTACTTTAATTTTAAAAATAGGGCGTCAACAACTTTAGCAATTTATTTTGCCTTTTCTTAATAGTTTTCTCCTAATTATTAAATATCAATTTTGTCTAAACAGTTTTAAGAAAACTTGAAATTTTGTCCTTCTAACGACCTCTTTCAAGTAATCAAGTTGTTCCATGGGGGGGAGGATCTTAGGCCAACCCCAAAAATACCAAAATCATAGATCCTCCATTGGTTCCATGTGATACAAGAGCACAAAAACATCCCTGACAAACAACCTGATAGGAAACACTTGTAGATCTCAAGTATTTCCTATCAATCTTCGGAAAACAACGATAAATCTTCACAAAAGTCCGCATAAAACCACGAAAACAGTAGATAATTTGTATTATTTGATGAAAGGAAAACAGAAAATAGCAAGATACAATTGATCCTCAATTCGAGAGGAGGATCGATCTCTCCCAAATCTCTAGACGCCGCTAGAGCCCAAAGAAAAACTTCATTCTAAGAGATCTCAAATTTCATCCAAATTCTAATGCATACAAATCAAAAGGAAATCCCTAAACAGTCCCTACATTCAGATTTCCCTCCCAAAACCCTAAAAAATCCTTTCTAAAATGATTCTCCAGCGCTTGCGGTGCGGTCGATCGTGAAAAAGAGGCGGAGGAAGTCCGCCTCGTCGTGCTCGGGCCGGTCCCGCGTGGACCGACTGGACCGGTCCAATGGATCGGTCTAACAATACTCCCCTCCCAAAGATCTACCTTGTCCTCAAGGTGAAGATATGCTCATGTTCCGATGGAGTTGGCCATCCTTGAGGTGGTTGAAAATCATTACCAAATTGCTGAAGTAGGGGTTTCCTTGAAAGAGAAGCATCCCATCCCTTCTCCATCCTGATCACATCCAGCTTGTGTAGTCCCACCCGATAAGCTTCCCCCAGCTCTTGTAGGCTCCAAACCATGGTCTTAAGTGATACCATGGCTTTGGATAGCCCTGCATCTCCCCTTATAACCACTTTTCTCTCATCCACCATTAATTTTATCGTTGGTGCTCCATAATTGTCCATGGTTTCCCCCAAGGTTTGCAACCATTTCATTCTTAGGATGACATCAGTACTTCCTAACTCTAGTGGGAGAAAATTCTCCCTTACCTGAATCCCCTGGATGGTCAACACCACTCCTCTATAGATCCCCTGGCCTTTCTACACCTTCCTTGTACCTATCATCACCCCATAACAACCGGTGTCCACCAATTTCACTCCCAGTTGGTTGACGACCTGAGTGGAAATGAAATTATGGGTAGTCCCACTGTCAATCAAAACAACCACCTCCATGCCTGCTATTTCCCCCTTCACCTTCATCGTATGATTCGAAGTGAATCCTACTACTGAATTCAGGGAAACCTCGGCCATATCCAAATGCAACTTCTCCTCCATCTCTTCCTCTAACTCCTCCTCACCTCCCTCCTCAGTTTCCTCATCGTCACGGACGGTGAGAACCTAAAGAGTTTGGTCCTTGCACCGATGTCCTGGCGTATACTTCTCCTCACACCTGAAACACAACCCCTTTGGCCTCCTCTCCTGCATCTCCTTCTCTGTCAACCTCTTGAAATTTTCCCCACTCTCTCCTACTGGCTTCTTCCTGGTGCTCTCATTAACGTTGCCTGATGCAGGCCCCTTGGGTGTTAGAAGAGTGGTCGTCGTCCTGTAAGAACCTCCTGAGTTGTTGCTCCTGTCTCCCTTCTCTAGATTCTTCTGATTTTCCACCAGCTGGGCCAACTTCATGGCCTCCCCCAAGTTACGAGGCATCAAAACCATCACTGATGCTCGGATCTCTACCTTCAACCCCTTCATGAAGTTCCCCTCTAATATCATATCTGATAATCGCTCCACCCTACTGGCTAGGTGCTCAAACTGCTCCCGGTAGTCTGCTATTATCTCTTGTGCTAGAGCAAAGACCTGCTCATAGAAATCTCCTTCCTGATCGGTTTGGAAACATTTTATTATGCAGCCTTGAATTCCCTCCGGTCCCTGATAGGTCTCCTCTGGTCTCTCCACTGGTACGATGGCAGTGCATTCTCCTCCGAACATAGGTCTGCTGCTGTCAGCTTCTCCTCCTCCGTTAGCCCATTAACGTCAAAGTACCTCTCCACCTTATAGATCCACCCATACGCATCCTCCCCCTCGAAGATAGGCATCTTCAACTTCCTCACCTTCTGATCTCCACCATTTCCCCTTATTCCTCCATAGCTTCCCCTCTCCCAAGTGCTCGGCCCACCCCACGTCTCCCGATTTTCCCTTGCCCTGCCATAGCCCAAAGCCCCTTCGAATTCCCCTCTTCTTCCTTCAAAATTAGCACATCGGCGACCATAATGTCCCTCCCGGCGTTCCCAATCAGCACCCCTTTGCTCCATCCCTCCATACCCATGCCTTTCCCCATACCTACCTCCTCTATCCTCTCTCTAGAAAGGCTCCATATAGGGTTTCCTTCTTTCTCCCTCCCCAATTTCCACCTCATCTTCCTCCCTACAAATTTCAAAATTCCTGTTTGTTCTTTCCTCCTCTTTTGCCACGGAAGCCGCCATTTGGTTGTGAATTTCTAACATTTTCTTCATCATGTCCCGGAGATCGGCTACTTGTCCTTCCATGGTGAAAATCATTTCCTCCACCGTTGTCTTGATTTGGTTCATCTCCCCTTCAAGCCTTTCTTCTAGCGCATCAACTTTCTTAGCCGACATCTCGATCCGAACTTTTGTAAATTCAAAAATTCCGGATTTGGATTACAAAAAAACAACTTCGTTCCTTCCCGACCAAAAATCAACCCACGAATGGTCCCAAGACTTGCTATGATACCAATTTGATATGAAACACTTGTAGATCTCAAGTATTTCCTATCAATCTTCGGAAAACAACAATAAATCTTCACAAAAGTCCGCACAAAACCACGAAAATAGTAGATAATTTGTATTATTTGATGAAAGGAAAACAGAAAATAGCAAGATACAATTGATCCTCAATTCGAGAGGAGGATCGATCTCTCCCAAATCTCTGAACGCCGCTAGAGCCCAAAGAAAAACTTCTTTCTAAGAGATCTCAAATTTCAGCCAAATTCAAGATGTCCTAACCTTAGGAAAACAAAGTATTTAACGCATACAAATCAAAAGGAAATCCCTAAGCAGTCCCTACATTCAGATTTCCCTCCCAAAACCCTAAAAAATGCTTCCTAAAATGATTCTCCAGCGCTTGCGGTGCGGTCAGTCGCGGAAAAGAGGCGGAGAAAGTCCGCATCGTTGTGCTCGGGCCGGTCCCGTGTGGACCGGCTGGACCAGTCCAATGGATCGGTCTAACACAACCATATTCTACCTTTACAAGTGAACATACCCATATAGTATTTTGAACTGTTTCACACAAAAAGCCTTATTTGTTTAGAAGAGAATGCTTGATAGAGATTTAGTACCTATAAAATATTGATGTGTGATTCTCTTCCGCAATCCAAGTGAGAGCTGGTTGAGCTCCTAGGAGGACTATGGGAGTCCAACTCAGAGTCTCGTGCTCATACTCTTGTTAAAAAACCAATATGCATGTTGAACAGTTCAATGCTAATTAAAGACATTTTTTCTCATTCATTTAGCTTATTAAACAAGCTTGAAAAAAAAAAAAGGAAGCTAAGCATCCGCGTAAGCTTTGAACATCATCCTGTTTACATATGTTTGTGATTATTTTCATTTGTTGTTTAATAATTAGCTCAATAAGAACTTGATAAAGTTCTCATTTGATGCTTCTTTATTAGCTTATGTAATTCCTCATTTTTTTCATTTTTCTATAAAAACTATATTTAAGTGAAGTATGCTAATAAAAATGTGTAATGGACACCCATAATGATCAAATTATTATAAAATTTTATTTTTATTAGCATAAGAATACCAAAATATTGAATGAACATACTAATTGAACAATATAAATTTCTTATGAATGGTTATGCATGCATTTGTGATGGTGTAGGGTTACAAATTCAAATATTAGTCCTCTCTTATGATTTGCTAAGTTTGATACAGCCTAAACTCAACAAATAATTCAATTAAAAATTTTAATCATGACTTTTAAAATTAAATCATGTTCAAGCTCAACTCCAGCAAGATTAGAAAATATGGAAACAAATTTGAGCAAAATAGTACTTGACACTACTCGATACACTTATAACCCTATGTGCACATAGCTAATATGAAAGAGTTTACTAGAAGTACCTATTATATGTTCCCAGAAAAGTATTTTAGGGTTTAATTATTTGATGTTTCTTCATTAGCTTACGTGATACTACTATTTTGCATTTTTGTATTAAATAAAAAATTTGGTATGCCAACAAAAGCATATGTATGATAAACATTCATATATAATTATCAATTTCTTATAATTTTTTTATAAACATTAGAATATTAAAATATTTAATTAAAGTACTAATTAAGCAATGTAAAATTCTTATGAATAAGTATGCAACCATTTGCGATAAGTATAGAGTTTATTAGTTCAAATATCAATCCTCGAATAAATTTTACTAGGCCCAATAAACAATTCAATAAAAAGCTTAATCATTATTTTAAAAAACATAACATCCTCAACTCAAGCTTAGCTTGAGCTTGATTAAGCACAAATGCACAATAGTATTTGACTTTGCTTGACTTGTTCACAACCTTATATGATTGGAAAAATTAGTTTACGGGAAATGCATCTTCTGAGTTCCCACCAAAGTGGATTGGAAAAAAATTTAGTGAACAAATTACTAAATTTGGCAAAATAGAAGAATGCTTTCCACTCTAGATGGTTCATTGCTTCTAATAAGTTGCAGGCAAAAATATGAAAACTCAATCTTGCATGTTAGTTGGTAAATCTAGAATTAAGATGCGTCGCGTAGAGACTATGTAAGACCTTTGAAAGACAATTCTTCAGCAGGGTCATTAAGCTCGTAATGCCAACCCTCTTGTTGAAATGTCTGAAAATCCTCCACACATTTAGGAAAGAATACAGCATCTAAGTACACATCAACCAGATTGTAGAAATCCTGAAAGTCAACATAAAAAGCAAATCAACTTGGCTAAAGTTTCATGAGAAACAATAACATGAATATCTTATGAAGCAAAGAGAATAAGTTACCTTGGCGTTCGTTGAAGCAACTGGATAACAAGTTCTGTCAGGATAGGTGAATGCATTTAAAAAAGTATTCAGGCTGCCTTTCAAAAGCTCAACAAATGGTTCTTTCAAAGGATATTTCCTAGATCCACAAAGTACACTATGTTCAAGTATGTGAGGGATGCCAGTAGAATCTTTCCTGCAATTTATGAGAACTTGTTCAAGTGGTCTGCCAGGTTTAATAGGATGAACTTGATAAATGAAAGCACAGGATAAGTAAAACAACATACAAAGGAAGTTTATATTTCTGCTAGGTGTGAAGGAATGCATAAAATAAACTACAAATGCTCAATTATAAAAACCATTGCATAAGGTGAAATAAAAAAGAAAATATGCTGTGTAAAAACGTCTGAACAAAATGCAAACCTAGACTTTGAAAATTTTAAAAACTAGACAGATAAATTATATGCCTAAACTTACGGAGGAGTTCGAAAAACTATGCCAAAAACCTTATTCTCGTCGTCATTTGATACAGATATTACTTCTGCACCAGTTTTCTTGTGCTTATAAAAAATGGCAGTTGATTTGCACTCGCTTATAAACTGCTCAGATATCTTGTCAAAACCAAGCTTCTCAGCAATGTCATGACCTGCATCTAAATATGATCAAAACCAAATAATTAATGTAAATCTTAAACGAATTACAGTGTTCAGCAAAAACAAATCAAAGACTGATTTATAAAGCTGACCTCAAATTGTTGAGATAAAGCTAGTGGCAATTATGCCATCTTAAATGCATTTATAGTTCATTAAGTTGCTGGAAATTCAAAAGTTAGTTTGAAAAAATGATAAGTTTACTAAATTCTATCATTTGGTCGGATGCAACGTGAATTTTAAGCTCTATAAACACCTTCAAAATATCCTTATAGGATTTGGTCCAGTTTTAGGTTATCTTTTCAATATTTATATATAGATTTATAGGTTGCTGTAATGGAGGTACCCTAGAACAGATTAATAAAGGCTGGTGCTCTCTCCCTTCATACCCTCTTCATACCCTCTCTCCCTCTACATTCAAGAAGAGCTTTCTTCCTCCAAGAAATCCCAATATATACCAAAAAATAATGATTTCATTTCACAGAGAAGATACACAATCATCGCTATGTAAACCATTATTTTTTGTATCTACATGCAAACAAATAATCACTGGAAGAAAACTAGAATAGGAAAATATATAATATTCAAATATCATACACCACTGAGAAAAGCTCCCAATATCCCCAAATTTAACTTGCACCATGGTGGCCAACAAAATCATAGTTCTCTATGCAACGTAGAAAAACACCCATTAAACTGAAATCACCCATCTACATATATATGTAAAAATAAACTTAGGCCAACGATTTTCCGAAGGAGCCACCAGCGAACAAATCTAGAAGTACAAAAAAGAACAAAATTAACAAAAGCAAAGACCGGAAGCAATCAGTCCATAAGATCTCCTACCTCGGGCTGCTGGGTGGGGCGAAGTAGAGACGGCGCTGGGGGCAAAAGATAAGCTCTTTCTGAGGCGCATGGGTTGGAACGTGGTCGTTGCCGGCTGCCACCGGCGGGTCGAGGAGCCATAGAGGAACTGTACTTGCTGCTTATACCTGTGGATGCGGGAGGAGATGAGGCGGGGTCTGTTCTTCGGTTGGAAGAGGAGTCTCCGGCAGGTAACGGAGGAGCAAGTGGATAATGAGCGAAGTAGAGCGACTCCCTCCATTGCTAGAATGATGGTGGCTCTGAGATGTAGGAATGTAGGAAAGAGCTGATATGGTTTTATTTGTTATTGGATTCCATTGGTGCCCTCCAAGAACACGCCTCTTCAATTATAATTTTTTCATAATTTATCTATAATAAATAAATAAAGAAATTGTATAATTTTATGTTTATTATCACAAAAATAATTTTCTTACCAACTTATAAATATATTTAAACGATTTACATATATCACTGAAATTTACATCAATTATATATTTAAGATTTAATATTCAATCTGTTTTATAATATAGTAATATATTATATTATGTTGATGGCATTCACAAAATTCTTGTCAAGCAACAAAGAGACATGAAAATTTAGATCGAAATTTTGCTGAAATGACATCAATGGGATCAAAGTTGTAATAACTCACATTTTACATGATTAAATATTCATTAATGACCTATAAATAACTCTCATACAAATTCATGCATGCATGAATATTTGCATGGGAGCGGCAGAGCGCTAAAACACTGTGCTTTGAGATCAATGTGACACAAACCTCACAGGTTTGAAGTAATATAGAGGAGCGTTGAAGCGCTGGTGTCTAGAGGGTGTGGCACTGGGTCTTAAATTTTATTTTTTTAAATATTTAAATCCACTACCTTATATTAAGCATACCCTAAGCCATCCCAAGCCTCCATTTTAGTTACTTGTCCTTGAAGGAGAAGATGAGAAAAGGGGGGAGAGGAGGAGGAGAGAGTGGAGAGAGAAAATTGCTTTCAGGTAGGAGTATCAAAAATGGGTTTTTGGATCGAGTTCGGGTCCAACTCAAAATTGGCCAGCCTTCAACACCCCCTGACCAAACCCAACTCGATTTACAAAATGTGTCATATTCCTGGACCCAAACTTAACCCACGTCAACCCAACCTAACACATCGACCTACAAGAGAGCGAGGTTCATACAGGTACAGGTGCGTTGGTGCATATGGGCGAGCGTGGGCACATACCCAAACTCAACCCAACCTTCAAAATGCATCAAAACGGTCACTACACTTTCACTATATTTTTATTGCGCTTTATATGCATTTTTCAGCTTTATATTCACTATTTTTTGTTTGCAAGGCAGCAAAGGTGACATTATTTATACTTCTGATAATAATATGATATCGAGAGTTGATCTTGATGACCTAGCTACAGATAAATATTTGGATAACAACCATATATATGCATTTGCTTTATTGTTATTTGAAAAGAATAAGCTTATACCCAACCTGTTCCAACCCATATGAACAATGTTGATTATGAAATATATATTCGTCTACAAATATATGAGAAAAAATTATTCTTCGAAGGAAAGTAGATTGGGCAGAATAAAAAAAGTGGCAAGATGAAATGTCAAAAGTTATGGTCGAATTAATTCGCATACGTTATGTTTCTTTCAACGAAGAAATCAATATCTTTTTGTATAATTTGTATAATTAATGATTCATTTTATTTTGTATTCTTTGATCAATTCCTTAATTACATTGTATCAGCTAGTAATTTTTTATAAAATAATAATGCATTTTAAAAATATTGCATTCCTTTTTATTTATAATACTACATTCATTTTTTAAAACAACAAATGCACAGTGAAATCATAACAAAAGCAAAACTAATGCGCATCAAAAGCATAGTGAAAAAGTAGTTATAGTAACTTGATATGAACTAAGCGTCGCTAAAGCACATTTTTTAGAAAAATTCCTTAAAATTTTTATTCATAGTGAAAACACTTATAGTAATATGATATGAACTAAAACACTTTTACAATGTTTTTGCTATGATCTTGCTAAAGCGTAGTGAAAATGCATAAAAAATACAACTAAAGCGTAGTTAATTATATATTATATTGTCATTTTCTATAAAATTTTGTTTACGTGAAAATATTTATAGTTTTGAAATTTTTCCTTATAAATTTAAACTCTTATAGCTTGAGCACAACAAAAGCTCAGTGAATTGCACTATATTGTGTCATTTTTTAAAAATTTTCCTTACAAATTTAATTTCTAAAACTAATTGTAGCTAAAGAACAATAATATTGCAGTGAATGCATAACAAAAGTACATTAAAAATCCAGTTAAAGCACAACAAAAATGTAGCAAAAACGTAGTTAATTACATAATATATTGCTAATTTATAGACAATTTTCCTTACATATTTAAATCAATGTAAAAAAAACTTATAGCTTTGAAAATTTTTCTTACAAATTCAAATCATAGTGATGATATTGACCACTTATTCCTTATCCAATAAAGATCCTCCAACTAATTATAGTTATGGAGGTTCCTTTTCGTGATCATTCCAACTCATATTTTCTCAAACTCGTCTTCAGAGTCACACTTTCTTAAACACTTATAGAAGAGTCCGATAACTTCGTTGTTGCTATTGAAGCACCCGACTTTTGATGAAACCTTTTTAAGAAATGTGTCATTGGCATAATCTATGACGAGTGTGAGGTAATACAACTTCTATGGCCCTAGCCATTATATGACCCTAATCGGTATATTGTCATTGAATGTTTATCACTTAGCATTCGTACAAATGTTATAAATGACCATATAAATGATTCAATTATTTTCTTTAACAAAAAGATCATCCTAAACAAAAATATTATGCCAGTGACTATTAACACCCGTAAATGTTGTACAAACTAAATTATATTTATTTAACATATAAATAGTATAAAAAATCATTATATCTTCACAAGAGTCATAATCTATCCCACCCATCCATCAACCCAAGAACTATAACAATCTATCAAATTCATCAAATTAGATATCCCATTGGAACATATTATTATCAACTTGATGATCTTTAAATAATTGAATTAAATATTGGTGTTCCAAATTTAATCTTTTCTCTTTTTTTTCTTTCTGAAAAAGTTGTATTCATCCCTCTTAGAGAATATAACATTCTCGATACCTCAAACTTCCTCTATAAGATAAGAGAATGCATCAACAATTCTTATCCTGACTTCTATCATTGATTTCAAAACTGAAGCTTTCTCATCATCAATATTCCTAGATAATCTCAAGAGGTGTCAGTCTTGTGGTTTAGCCAATTCATAATTATGGGATTCAATAAATTTTTTCACATTTTGATTTTTAACTTCATCAGCTGCAAACCCAATCAAAGATGGACAACCCATACTGGCCTCTAACTTATGATATTTTATTTTAAAATTTAGGTCAAAACTTTTTTTTTTGAAGCAAGATTTTGAACAAACGAAGTCATTAATTTTTATCTTTATGAATTTTGGTCAGTTAATGCGATGATCATTGCGCACACTAAAACCAACATTATGGGTATAACTGTAGTAAGCATCATATATTTATTTCTCATATTTATACATAACTTGTAATATGAAGTAAAGTACAGTGAAAGCACATCAATAACGTAGTGAAAACACATCAATAACTCAATGAAAGCACTGTGAATGCGCAACAGAAAACACAACAAATGTCAATGAAAACGTAGTAGTTAAAGCGTAATAAAAGTTCTGCAAAAGTCCAGTTAAAGCACAGTGAAAGCTCATTGAAAACGTAGTAAAGTATTAGAAAAATGCAATGAAAGCACAACAAAAAGCGCACTAGCAAGTATGCAGTAAAATTACATTAAAAGTGCAGTGAAGTTGCAATAAAAGCACAGTCAAAAGACACAACAAGAGCACAATATATAACAATGCACAGTTAATGTGCACATAAAGCACAATAACAAATGCACAGTTAAAGCGCAGTAGCAAATGCACGGTGCTCTTTTGCTTTTTACATGCTATTGCTTGCACTCGTATTGAGCATTGATGTATTTTTTTCTATGCAGCTTTGTTTTAGAACTCTCAAAAATTATAAAACTTTGGAAGCCCTTAATACGACTTGGGATGAGGTGAAGATTTTTCGATAAGTTGAAACATGTATTTTCTCCAGGCAAATTAACTTATGATTCCTGAACGTTTGCATACCTCCTTTTAGCCATAACGTCCTGTGAATATGCCATCTCCGTGAATAATACAACATTGTTACTTATTGTTTTCTTTCTCAGTAGGTATAAAAATCATAAATATTTGAATTTGAGAGCTTTCATGGGTTTTTTTTCTTAAAATGGATCATCAACCCTAAATCCTCTTCCAAAAAATAAGAAAACGTTAGTCAGGTCGGGTCGATTGGGCTGACTAGATATAAATAAAAAAATAATTCCAATTTAATACCCATATGTCCACTCCACATGTCAGGATTTAATTGGAATCCTGATGAAGAGCTACGTCCGGCCTTTGCACCAAATAATTTATCCTCAATTGAAAAAAAAAAGAAATAAAAAAAAACTTATATTTATATAGAATTATTTTATTGTGCCATGGCTAGATCAAGTCAAAATCACACAACCCTGAGATCCATGCATCCCGGTCGTCCGTTACGTTTCCTTCCTCAATCCAACGGCCGATATCAAACCTACACTCGAGTCGGCCTCCCGAATAAATCATTAAATATCCTTCCACGCTCACCCGCGAGCTCCCTCTCTTGCTTCCCCCTCACCAGCACTCACCCACGCGCTCCCTCTCTTGCCTGCATCTACCCCCGGCGAGGACCACCTCCTCCGCCAACGAAGATGCAGCCAGCAAGCGGCGCCGATCAAATGAAGTCGAAGCATCAGCCGTGGGTTCCGCCGGGGGTCATGCAGTATCCGGTTTCTCCGATGGTGATGCAGAACCACATGGTTCCGCCACCGCCGCCGCAATTTGCGCCGCCACATTTCTTTGGTTTTCACCAGCCGATGCACCCACCTTCTTCCCCTCTGCAGCAGATGGGGACTAGCGCCGATGAGAATAAGACGATATGGGTGGGGGATCTCCAATACTGGATGGATGAGAATTATCTGCATGGTTGCTTTGGGCATACTGGCGAGGTCTAGATCTAGTCCTCTCCTTGAAAAATTCTGTTTTGATTCCATCGTAATTTAAGGTTTTTGTTGAGATTCATTTATTTATCTGAATTTGTATAGGATTTTATTTTGAATGTTTAGATGCATGAAATTGGTTTTGTCTGTAATGCTGTTTTAGTGCTTTGGAATGGTGATAAGTTTATGTTTATGGTAAATGATAGCTTCAGGTTGATAGTAGAGAGGAGTATCTTGTAGATCGGAGCTTTGCAAAGGTTTTTTAAAGAAAAAAAAGAAGTTGAATGGATTCACGCTTTAGATATATGTGGTGATACCACCAAACAGCTTTGCCTTAAGCGATACACTTTTTAGTTTCTAAGGTAAAGGTCTTTGGTTTGAGACCTGTTGTTTGAGACCTGCAAACGCAACAACATCATCATCAAGCCTTTATACCACTTTGTTGTTGGCTGCATCATCAAGCCTTTATACCACTTTGTTGTTGGCTACATGAATTCTTTTTCTCTATTTTGTTATATTAAGAGTTCAATTCTTATTTAAATCTACTTAAAAAAAGATCATTTCTAATATTTTCTAACCAAATATTTTTAGGTCGACCTCTACCTTTATTAACATAGATCGGATTTAATACATTCACTCTCCTAAAATGGTCATTGGAAGACCGACATTTTTTGTGATAAAATAATCTAAGATGACTCTCTCTAATCTTATATGCTACAGGAGATACTCCAACCTTTCCACGTATATATTTGTTTCTCATACTATCTCTAAGTGTAAAATCACTCATCCACCTTAGCATCCTCACCTCTCCACTTAATTTAATTTTATGTTTCTCTTTTAATGACCTACATTTTACGCCATAAAGCATTGCAGGCCACACCATCTTCTAACATTTTTCCTTGAGTTTCAGGGGTACATTTCTATCACACAACATGATTGATGTATTCCTCCACTTCAACCATTCAACTTGAATTATACTGATAATATCCTCATCTATTTCACCATCGCTTTGAACAATAGACCTGAGAACTTGAATTCTATTGCTGCTCATGTGGATTCAAACCCACCTTGTTTATATTAAACATATGAGATATATTTCTATAATTAAAAAAAATTCTAAGTGGTAATGTTGATTTTTATTGAGGATACATATTTTTTCACGGATAAGTGATCTCGAGTGAATTAAATTTACTATGCAGCTATCTTTTTTTGGTTTTGAATTTTATCATAAATGTTCATCGAGAAGGAATAGATGAGCTTAGGTGAAAAATTGTATTTTTTCATATTAACTATTTAGTGTTTCCCTTTTTACCTTAGAATGAAAACAACACATTTATCGATGCGCTTGAAACTGGAAATTCTCTGTGAATAAGCATGTTCAAGTAGTTAAGCATTTTTTATTACTAAATAATTTTAGTCCATTTACACATTGAATGTATTTTTGTATATTTGATATTTTTATGTTTTTAATGCTTTTTGGTTGATATTTTTAGTGCAAATCTATTGTTAGCTGTAATGACTATTTATATCATTCGTGATTTTTGGTTGTTTCTTTTGGTGCAGTTTGCTTGGTTTTTCTCATGGTCTCGTTTTTCTTCTCTAGAAAAATTTTCTTTATATTTTCTCTTTTCGAGTGTCTCTAATCTTTTGTTTTCTTAAAAAAATTACAGATAAATAGAGGTTATAATGATTCCTTTAAGTATGGCCATTGTAGGACAATTAGGATGTAAATCAAATGGCATGCAAAATATTTATTCACCAAATAATCAAACTACACTAGCTAATGAAACCATTAGTTACTTGTGGATTAGCACGATAATGAAGTTTGTTGATGTGTGTGTGTGGGTGGGGGGTCTTTAGTGTGAAAGGAACTTATTATGCTCATTGATGAAAATTGGAGAGAATCGATTTAGTGTTTCATTCCAAAATTTGTGATGAATTCATACAAGCTCAAGAGAGTTGTAAGGGGAAATATACAAAATGTGTAATTGAAAAAAATAAATATTAAATTAATTGCAATAGACAACCCATGAACTAGTGAGGTGGCAATAATGATCCTATAGATCAATGAGATGGGAACGAGAATTACTAAGGAAGTCAAACTTTCTAAGCTGAGCAGGAGGAGCATAATCCACTTGATGCATTGCTTTCTGGGATCATAGAGGCGTTACTAGTTAGGTGTGACTTGGGTGAACCCGATAAGAAGCATAACTAGTTGACCCTGACTTGGGTGGACACAACAAGAGGTGTTGGAGGTTACTGCTTTAGAAATGAATTTATGAACCTTTTCTACTCTCTATCTTAAGCAAATGAATGAATAATCATCCATTCCAAGCTTACATGTTAATTTCTAAAATATTGTCACTGATAAATCTTTGGTAAGAATGTTTGCAAGTTGTTCACTTATGGATACAAATGAAATATAAATTAGATCATTGTCCTTTTTTGTTTTATAAAGCATGTCAACTTCAATATGCTTAGGATGATCATATCGCATGGGGTAATATGCAATATTGATGGCTGACTTATCATAATAGAGCTTCCTGGGACATTTCCATTCAATTTTTAAATCTTATGAGATAATTTTAAGCCGTAGTAATATGTAGATTTCCAGTGCCATATATTTAAATTTGGCTTCTATGCTAGATCTTAGCATCTTGCAGTCACATTTTACTTTTTTTTTTTACTTCTCCAAGCCACTTGTTTGCCTCATAAGAATGTGCAATGTATTGAAGTTGACCTGCTATCAATCATACTCCCTGCATAATCACTATATGTGTAGATTTTCAAGTGTCATATACTCCCCCTTTCTAAATAAATTTCTTTACTAGGGATTCCTTTAAGATATCATAACATTCAATGCAATATCAAAATATTTGATTCTTTTGGATTGTGCATAAATTGACATATTGCACGTACAACACATGCATCATTAGGTCTTGTATGTGATAAGTTTGTATCTCTACTTTCTTGTTTCATTTAATAGGCCCGTTATATATGTCCGTTATATATTTTTGTTGTGATATGAAAAATCCATGTTGAGGCATGCTACTTCAGTTTTAAGGAAGTACTTTAGTTTATCAAGTTTGTTGACTTCAAATTCTTTCAACAATCTTTCCCTTAAAGTCTCTATTCATTCGTTGATGATTCATGTGTTGTTCAGTGCTAAGGGATAAATTCGATTGATTGGACTTGTGTAGTTTGAGATATATTTTTTTCTTGAGCAAACATGTAGTGGTTGAGTAAAAAGTGGGTTTGTTATGAGCTTGGTTTGTGTTGGATTTTTTAGTTCTAGAATAGAGTTATTTGCTAGATGAGGGATAAGGAAGACAGGGTATTCTCTTATTGTATTTATTTGTGAATGATATTTCTTCATTGGGTTAGGGAACACATAGAAGTCATCTTCACTGAAAGTGACATTAGTAGCCACATACACATTTTTTGTGGAGGATGGTAGTATTTGTACCCTTTTTAAGCGGGAGAGTAATAAATAAAGATGCATTTAATGCTATTGGATCATGTTTTTCTTTGTTTTGAGGATTTGCATGGGCAAAGACAATACTTCTAAATATCTTGATGATAACATTATTTGTTATGTTGAAGTGAGAAAATAAATTGTTTTAGACTTCTATATGACATTTGAACTCAATAACTCTTGTAGGTAGCCACTGGTTTGTGATGTGAGTGGTTATTAAAATAAATTTTCTCAATAGAACATTCTTTTAAAAAATGAGAGCCCTTGTGGTGGTAAGTAGGTGGTCTTTCTTTCTTTTAGCCACTCTATTTTGTTGGTCTTTGTACTGTGTACACACAAGATGACTCATTTATTATTCATTTTTCTTAAAATTATGAGGGTACTTACAAGTACTTTTTGTTTTTAGTTGAAAGATACATGACGCACGAGTGCAATTGTCAATAAAATACACAAACCATTGGGCCCAGGGATGGATGTTATGTGTGTTGGATGTTTCAAATATAATTATGAATGGGAGAAAAAGTACTTTGGGTTCTTGTATTACTTAGAAAACTAGTATATTTGTATTTTGCTAAATCATCAACGTCATGGTAAATTCTTGAATATTAATATTTTTAAATAAGAAAGAAAATAAAGTTTTGAGATCACCAGAAGAATGCTGGCCAAGATGTAAGTGTTGAAGCTATATCATGCCTTTATTGAATTTGAATGTTTCGTTAAGGAAAGATAATAAGACATGTAATGTATATCTTCCTTGTTCCTTGTATTACTTTAGGTGGTTGAGATCGCCTCTTTCTTTAGCAAGTATAATTATTCTCCTCGTGTCTTGTTCTTGAAAAACACAATATGAAGGATAAAATACAATACTGCATTTTGAATTTGTGGCTAGCTTTTGGAAAGATAAGAATTTGGTGAATATTTTAAGTATGTGGAGGACATTTTGAAGTGAGAAATTTATTTATAAGAATATTTAATTGACCAACAATGGTTTTCAATGATGACAATGGTTGCTTTCTTGTTGTTGTTTGGAGAATGAGCTTATAAAATAAAATTTTAAGAGGAGTTGGTGATGCGGTGCCATAATGCTGTAACAGGATATGAGGAGCATAGCAGACCGTGGAGAGTAACGCGCACATGGCTTCAGGCGCCACGACCATATACCGTTTTATCTTTTTCTATTATTAGTTCCTTTTTATATATGTCTTTTATTTCCTGCTTAGACTAATCCGGTGCCTGGTAGTGAACCGGAATACCATATATACCTGGAGAAGTATAGTGCAAAGGCAGATAGAATATACAGAAAATAGAAACCAGTCTTTTACTGTTCCATTGGAATTCTCCTGTTAGCCTAGGTTGCTTGAGTTTTGCAGGTTTCAGTGTGCTTCTGCACCAGTTGGTCATATGATTTGCAGCTTTTTAATCAATAATACATGGAGTTCGAATTAGGCATCTTTGAGACTTTAAAGTATTAGAAGAGGATGCAATAATTGAGAATAGAAAAGAAAAAATACCAATCATAGGAGCCTCTTTTAGT